AGTTCTCTAAAGTAGGGTTTAGGGTTTAGGGTTTAGGGTTTAGGGTTTAGGGTAGTTCTCTAAAGTAGGGTGCCTTTTAGGGCTCTTTATATATATATATATATATACTGGTGCTGTACTATATTGGGGACTGGAGAATGGACCCTAATATAGAGAACTCCTCATCTAGGGTTTTAGGGTTTTGGGTCTAGGGTTTAGGGTTTAGGAGTTTGAGGCTTAGGATCTAGGGTTTAGGGGTTAAGGGTCTAGGGTCTATGGTTTAGGGTCTAGGGTTTAAGGGTTTAGGGTCCAGGGTCGACCCTTCAAGCACTACGGGTTAGGGATCAATGCCATCCGACTTGGGCAAACTTGTTTCTGGGCGCATCCCTCAGAGCAAAAACAAGGCTACAAGCAAGATAACTACGATAAAATTTGCCCATGTCACAGAATTATGAAGAATTTAATGCTATGTTCGACTCAAACTTCGATTGTACTACACTTCTACGAACAATCTTAAACAAATATTACAGTAAAGTGTAACACGCCGGGCTGGGCTGCGAGGGGTCGGGATGAAAGCCCAGATGCAGCGTCTGGACGTTCGACATGGCGGCAAGATGCTTCGCCTTCTCCTTGGCTGCAAGTTGAGGGCTGACGGTTCAGGGTTTAGGGTTTAGGGTTTAGGGGTGTAGGGGTTTAGGGTTTAGGGTTTAGGTTTTAGGGTTTAGGGTTCAGAGTTTAGGGTTTAGTGTTTAGGGTTTGTTGTTTTGAAGTGTAGTGCGCCCCTTTCTCGTGCTGCCAGCAGGTCGGAACACACCGCACAAGGGTCTTGGGCTTAGGGCTTTGGGCTTAACTTCAGGGGCATAGCCTGCGGAGTTTTGGGAGGTCATGCCCATCAGGGGTTTAGAATTCAGGGTGTAGGATTGGTGTGCAATAGTGTAATATGGTACAATCACTGTAACATCTGGCTTTGTGGTATAGAATAAAGAGCATGGTAACACGATCCCTAACTCCTTGAACACAACTCCGCTGGGATTTCCACCTGTCTTTTCCGGGAGTCTGACTCGCATTGCTGGGAGGAAGGGTGCCGGAGTTTGGAATTTCTCTATACGGTTCAGCAGGCGCTGTGAGACTTTGTAGAGGTGCGCGTTCATGTCATTAGGTCTTGGGTGTGTAGGCTTAGGGTTTGGGGCTTAGGGTTTAGGGCTTAGGGTTTAGGGCTTAGGGTCTAGGGTCGTTAATGCTGCTCAAGCTTGAACCGGGTGCTATAAGGATGATGGGGAACACGAGCTACCTGAAAGCTCGTGAGTAGTCCAGTCTTGAGCTGAGCAAGGTGGTATGTACCCAAGTCGGAGCTGTAGCTCATGCAAAGACGATTGCCATACCTAAACCCTACTGAAATAAACCCTAAACGCTACAGTAAGGACCCTACGCTGGAACCTGCGATTCAAGAACGGCAGCCCTAAGGCCAACAAAGGCCCATTACAAGGTTACGAGTTCAGGATTAAAGGGACACGTCAACTGAAACCCCAAGACCCTGATGCCTTAACGACATCACAGTGACCGTACTCATAACCCTAAACCCAAAACCTCTCAACCCTAAGCCTCTGAAAAGCTTTCAACACTCTGCACCTGCAGAAACACAAGATCAACAGCCGATTCTCGGCTGAAGCCGAAGCCGAGAAGAAAGAAGGGCATGAGTGGTTGGTGACAGTGTTCCTTCGGACTCCCCATTATGACTACAGTAGTATACCCCAGAACCCATTCCAAGTATTCAAGCCTCATCCCACTGCATCAACTCTGAAACCTCAAGCCCTAAACCCCAAACCCAAACCCTAAACCCTAATCCCAAAGCTCCTAAACCCTAACCCCCAAATCCCAAAGCCCCTAAACCCTAAACCCCAAGCCCCTAAAACCGGAAACCCTCAACCCCAAACCCGAAGCCCCTAAACCCTAAGCCCGCAAACCGTAAACCCGAACTCAGAAAGAGCGACGACGAAGGTCTCGTAGGTTTCATCCGGCGTGCTGGCAAAGTTCGGCCTCGGAATCCTGGCGTGCGCAGGCTCTGTAAGGGCTTAGGGGAAAGGGTTTAGGGTTTAGGGTTTAGGGTTTAGGGTTTAGGGTTTAGGGTTTAGGGTTTAGGGTTTAGGGTTTAGGGTTTTAGGTTTAGGGTTCAGGGTTCTACCATAGAGCGGATGCTTTGGACGGGTACCATAAGGGGCTTCGGGTGTAGCTCTTGCTACTATAGACTGTAGCGGGTACTCAGGGGGTATCACAAGGGTAAAAGGGCTGGACCGCCAGCATGTCCGTGAAGGGGACGGGTCGAGGAAGTCAGGTGCTTGTCAATTTTGTATCTCTCGAACCTCGAACGAATTCGAGATGTTCTGGGGCTTCTGGGGCTTGAGAGTCTGCGGCTTGATGGGGCAGCAGCAACTCTGCTCGTACGTCATCAATTTTGGCAAGAGAGCTCGGGGCCCTTCGGCGAAAACTCCCTAACCCCATGCCAAACTGCCTCCCTCTCCAAAAACATGCCGAAAGGTCCCAGTACCCGGCTGAACCTAGGCAAATGCCCACCTCTTGAAAACTCGGGTGCTCTTGCCGCGATGGAGAAAGGTCGTAAGGCAGGCCACAGCCTTCGTTTGGGGTTTAGGGTTTCTGGCTCGGGGAGAAGCAGAGCTTTAGGTTGGGCGTCGCCTCCGCGCACAAAATCTCGGGGTTCAGGCTTTTCACGGTTGTTTGGGATAGGACGACAAGGGCTTAATGTAGGGGCCTTAATAATTGGAATAGGGTTTAAGGCTCTGTTATAGTATATTTATAATAGGGAACTCTAACAGTAATATTGGCAATTATTTTTGCTTCTTTTTTAAGCTCCTGGGCTATCTTTTTCCGGATCTTGGCCGAGGCTTTAGTGTCGAGGTGCCCCGGTGTCCCCTCAACAGACAAGAATAAGGGTACTTTCTGGTTATCCAGGTTTAATAAGGGGGCGTTGAATTAAAAAGTGCAAACCGTAAACTCTAAACTTGAACCCTAAACCCTAAACCCTAAATCCTAAACCTTAATCCCTGAACCCTAAACCCTTAACCCCAAATCCTAAACCCTATAATCCCTAAACCCAAAAACCCAAATCCTAAACCCTATACTTCCTAAACCCTGGCCCTAAACCCTAAAAGTTTATGGCTCCAAGTAGCCAGGGAAGTAGCAACGGACTGCGAGATCTTGGAGAATCCTCCTGCAGGGAGGGGAACGGGCCCGCGCCTTCGGTTTAGAGTTTAGAGTTTAGGGCAACCCTCACCCACCCATGAACCCTAGAAGTTTCGGGTTTAATATAGGGGCCTTAATAAATAGAATAGGGCTTGGGGTATATTATAGCATAGCTATAATAAGGAACCCCGAAAATAGTGTTGGTAATGATTCAGGCTTCTACAGTATTCGGATTTAGGGTTTGGGATTTAAGGCTTCTAGTGCCTTAGGGTTTAGCGGGTTTTGGACGAAGGCTTTAGGATTTATACGTTTGGTGTGGGGTCTAAGGTTGAGGCCTGAGGTGGTGCGCTTTAGGGTTTAGGGTTGATGAGCTTCAAGGTGCCCTAAACCCTAAATCCTAAACCCTACATCCTAAACCCTTGTGTTCGCCATGTGCCAGGCTGATGCCCGTAATTTTTCCTGAGCAGGCTGGTGGAGAGCCATCTTCGAACCTGGAACTTCTAAGACCCTTCATCCCTCTAGACCCTAAAACCCTAAACCCTAAGACCCTAAGACACAAAGACCCTAAACTTTACCCTAAACCGTGTCTAGACCGTCAAAGCGTCGTGAACTCCATATAAAGACCCAGGGCTTGGTTTCACCCTAAACCCTAGTAAGTCCTAAAGCCCTAAACCCTAAACCCTAAACCCAAAGCCCTAAACCCTAAACCCTAAACCGTCCCTAAATCCTGAACCCTAAACCCTAAACCCTCAGCCTTCTGCTCCTTCAGGTCGCGGTGATGCCCGCAGCTCCACCGAGCTGAGTGGCAAGGAAGGCGCCTGCTTTCGGGTCGCTTGCTCTTTTTCTCCGGGCTTCGGGGTTTCAGGGTTTAGGGCTTAGGGCTTAGGGTTTGGGGTTTAGCTGCTTCGGGTCTGGTTTCGGGTCTTGCTTTGAGGTTGAAGGTGTAGGAATAGACTACCTGTGCAAGTTAGGTTATGCTGCTCATCAGGCTTCACAAGAGCTTGTCACAGGGATCTGCACTGGAATTAAGAAAGGAGCATTTATAGGATTAGAGCACGTTGTTTCCTCTAGTGGAGAGGTGGTATATTGCAGGAGAAATATACTACGGAATCAGACTGAGTAGAATGTGCAAGTTACTCGCAAGTATCTCGCCTTCTATATTAGAGACTGGGTTGGCTCTGTGGTTTCAGGTTCCCAGGCACTGCAAAAACGATTCTGTATGAATTCGGACTCTCCTTCAACAGGGGTCCTTCATAAACCGTTCTGGAACACGACTGCAGCAAGAGCTCCGGAGGTTCAAACCCTAACCCCAAAAGAACCCTAAACCCTAAACCCTAATCCCTAAACCCCTGAACCCTACACCCTAAACCCTAAACCCCTAAACCCCTAAACCCCTAAACCCCAAACCCTAAACCCCTAAACCCGACCTGAACCTTTTG